ACGTTGTCTTCGGCTGGCGCGGAGCTGCGCTTTATACGTCGTGGGCAGCCAAGGAGTTTGCGCAACAACAACAACAAAATATATCCGTTATTGTACCGTACTTTCTACGCGTCCACGTGCATGCTCCCCGCACGTCACAGACTCGCGCTGACCATCGTTGGTGAGGTAACGGCGAAATAAAGCCACTCCACGACCAGGGCCGGATTGAGATTGTGTAGGCCCTCTGGGCTACAGGTACTGTGAGCCCCCCCCCTTCCCCCAGTAATATTTATCAAAAGGAAAACACAGTTAAAGAAAAATATAAGGTATTTTTTTACAAGGCTATCAACAAATAAAATTCAGCATTCACAAGCGAAATCACTTTTCACTTCATCTCTGGAGGGGCTCTCCAGCTGGCAGAGGGCCCTGGGCTGTAGCCCCTAAAGCCCCCCACGCCTTGATCCGGCCCTGCACACGACCCGTGCCAGGGGCGCGTGAGCAGGCCCCTTCATCCAGCAGTGGATTTGTCGACAGAGGGCCGCGCATTGATTCCTTCAGCCAACGAATGAAACCGTTTGACCCGGGGACGCTGCACTCCCCTCGTTGCGGTCAAACGTGCGCTGAAAGCTGAGTGACGAAAAGAAAATCAAAACTCGCGTTTGTTTAAATTGCATCCGTTATGTGACCAAGGTCTCAGAAAGCAGGTTTTTATTTAGCCTAGGGGGGGCGGAGGGGGCCCCTCCCCCCTCCCCTCCCCCCTCCCCTCTCCCCCAGTTGTCAGCTGTCTTTGTGCGGCACAAGGCACAGAGGCCATCATCCTCGCAGCGGCAGCCACCGCCACCGGCTCGCGCTTTCACGTGCGCTTCTTGCGGCCGTCTGGAACGCTCTCCCTACCAAACGTGCGCTTCAATTGAATTAACTAAAAGCCTCGATCTCCCCTCCCTTTCTGCCACCACAGTGCCAAGCGCACTCACTGTTCAGTTCTTAAATAGTGAGCCATTGGATAAAGACGGTGGTCACCGCATCGCGCACTTTCAGACGCGCTTCTTGGGGCCGTCTGGAACGCTCTTCCTTCCGATGTTAGGAGGCCACTGGAAGCTGTGCACTTTTAAATCGTCTACATTGACAAACTAATTTCTTTAGAACTGCTTTGGTTCTGTTCGGTTTGTTTTCCTTCCCCCCGCACCTCCGATCAGCGCGGCTGGCTACGTACGGTGCGAAAGAAGTTCAACGCGCATTCTTGCCTGGTCAGCACAGCAGCAACGGGCCTGCAAAGTGGACATTAGGCTATCGCCAGCCAGCCAGGCAGCCAGCAGCAGCAGTTAGCAGTGCGATGTTTCCTTCGTGTGTTTCCCTCCCAAAATGTAATTGTAAAAAAAAAAAAAAAAAAAAATATTTCCAAACTGCTCAAATATTTGACCGTGACAACCATGGGGCCCTGCGCTAGCCCAGGAGACGTCATCTTGTCTCGCCAAATATGCAGGAGGTCGTGGTCGGTGCGGTCCCGCAGCCGCACCTCGACCCCTGCGTGATTGGAGTTTGCGTGAACTCTCCCTCTCTCTCTTTCTCTCTCTCTCTCTCCTTGTAACGAAGTGGACTTCTCTCCGGGTTGTGCTCCGTTGTTTGCACCCCCCCCCCCCCCCACCACCGTTTAGATCAATTGGCAGCGACTCACGGTACCGCTACGTGTCAAATCCCTTCTGTGTCAATGTACTGCTGCTGGATGAGGGCCTCCCCACAATGTGTGGGAGGGGGGGGGGGGGGTGGAGGGCGCGGCCGGGGGAGGGGTGGATTTTTAACCATACTTCACCACGCTGGTCAGTGTGGGTTGGAGGGTGTAATATATAGTGGTTAGCGCGCTGCGCTACGAACCCGGCGAGCCGAGTTCGATTCACCGCTCACGGCCACCAACGCCAGCGACGATTATCTGAACCGGTCCAGGGCCTCCCCTAGGTCGACTGAGCCTCAAATGAGTACCTGGTGCGGTGCGTAGTAAACATCGCCACCTGGGAGACAAAGGCGGTCGGGCGTGGTGCTGGCCACCCACTCCCCTTCGTGCGCCGTGCCGGCCTCCATAGGTGCTGCTCGCTAACAGCACTTGCCCCAACGGTATGTTAAGGCTACACGGGGGATCTTTGTCACTTATGTTAGCCGTGCCTGGTGATGTAACTCGGGTCACGACGATGCAGAGTGAAGTTTTCGGACCACGCATTGCACCACCGCTTCACACGGCAACTAAATTAGTATTTATGCTTCACCACGCTGGATAGCGGGGTTCATGATGATGATAAGGTACACTGTTCCCTTACCCTGAACCTTGCTCCCATTCGCTGTTAACTCACCGATGACTTTCATTGATGTGTAACTTCGAGCTCCGTTGAAGCGAAACCTCAACACATTCAATAACACCGTGGCAAGACGAAGATTTATTTTAAAATATTCATATACATTCGGCGACGTTTCGGGCGAATGACCTATTTTTATAGCGCATTTAAATAAGCAGCAATACCTAAAAAGGTTTATTACATTTTTTTCTGTCAAGTATTGTTATTTATGAAAGTTTTAAATGGTTCAATGGAATTTGCTTTAACGTTAATTGTGCCAGTGAAGCAGCAGTAGCCGTCACCCCACGATCCGTTTGAGGTGTTGCTTTTACCCAGAGCTTCGCCGTCAAAATCAAAGACGTCTTGACCCTGCAAGACCCGTACTCTCCGGACGGCTAAGACGCGCGGCAGAGGAAGACGCATTGCTAACTCGTGCCCAGTGTAAATGAAGTTGTATAAATCTGGTCGCACGCACACGCGCGCGCGCGAATAATTAAAATCCGCACCCAAGCTTGTTCGTTAACATTAATGGGGTGGGAGGGGGGGGTGGTGGGAAGTGCGTCCGATAATGCGGAGATTTTGACAATGAGCCCTGCATCCGCGGCACATTGCCTCGTTTCAACGTTTAATATTCGCCGTGGCGAAATGGCCAAGACTCACCCCATCACCCCCGCCCTGGTCGATAAAACGAGCACCGAGTTGTGAAAACTCATCTGCAGTGAGGGGATAAAAAGTATTTGATCCCCTGCTGATTTTGTACGTTTGCCCACTGACAAAGAAATGATCAGTCTATAATTTTAATGGTAGGTTTATTTGAACAGTGAGAGACAGAATAATAACAAAAAAATCCAGAAAAACGCATGTCAAAAATGTTATAAATTGATTTGCATTTTAATGAGGGAAATAAGTATTTGACCCCCTTTCAATCAAAAAGATTTCTAGCTCCCAGATGTCTTTTATACAGGTAACGAGCTGAGATTAGGAGCACACTCTTAAAGGGAGTTCTCCTAATCTCAGCTTGTTACCTGTATAAAAGACACCTGTCCACAGAAGCAATCAAGCAATCAGATTCCAAACTCTCCACCATGGCCAAGACCAAAGAGCTCTCCAAGGATATCAGGGACAAGATTGTAGACCTACACAAGGCTGGAATGGGCTACAAGACCATTGCCAAGCAGCTTGGTGAGAAGGTGACGACAGTTGGTGCGATTATTCGCAAATGGAAGAAACACAAAAGAACTGTCAATCTCCCTCGGCCTGGGGCTCCATGCAAAATCTCACATCGTGGAGTTGCAATGATCATGAGAACGGTGAGGAATCAGCCCAGAACTACACGGGAGGATCTTGTCAATGATCTCAAGGCAGCTGGGACCATAGTCACCAAGAACACAATTGGTAACACACTACGCCGTGAAGGACTGAAATCCTGCAGCGCCCGCAAGGTCCCCCTGCTCAAGAAAGCACATATACATGCCTGTCTGAAGTTTGCCAACGAACATCGGAATAATTCAGAGGACAACTAGGTGAAAGTGTTGTGGTCAGATGAGACCAAAATGGAGCTCTTTGGCATCAACTAAACTCACCGTGTTTGGAGGAGGAGGAGGAATGCTGCCTATGACCCCAAGAACACCATCCCCACCGTCAAACATGGAGGTGGAAACATTATGCTTTGGGGGTGTTTTTCTGCTAAGGGGACAGGACAACTTCACCGCATCAAAGGGACGATGGACGGGGCCATGTACCGTAAAATCTTGGATGAGAACCTCCTTCCCTCAGCCAGGGCATTGAAAATGGGTCGTGGATGGGTATTCCAGCATGACAATGACCCAAAACACACGGGCAAGGCAACAGAGGAGTGGCTCAAGAAGAAGCACATTAAGGTCCTGGAGTGGCCTAGCCAGTCTCCAGACCTTAATCCCATAGAAAATATGTGGAGGGAGCTGAAGGTTCGCGTTGCCAAACGTCAGCCTCGAAACCTTAATGACTTGGAGAAAATCTGCAAAGAGGAGTGGGACAAAATCCCTCCTGAGATGTGTGCAAACCTGGTGGCAAACTACAAGAAACGTCTGACCTCTGTGATTGCCAACAAGGGTTTTGCCACCAAGTGCTAAGTCATGTTTTGCAGAGGGGTCAAATACTTATTTCCCTCATTAAAATGCAAATCAATTTATAACATTTTTGACATGCGTTTTTCTGGATTTTGTTGCTGTTATTCTGTCTCTCACTGTTCAAATAAACCTACCATTAAAATTATAGACTGATCATTTCTTTGTCAGTGGGCAAACGTACAAAATCAGCAGAGGATCAAATACTTTTTTTCCCTCTGTACAAGCTTCCTCTCCGCTGCGATGAAGAGCCATTGCCTGAAACGTCGACAATTATATATGTTGTCATTTTAGGGCAGTATGAATGACAAAAGTGTTAAGTTATAATTACACCTACGGGAAACAAAAAAATGTTTCCCCGTCATGGGAACGTGGAATGTGTGCACCGGTGACAACGCAGTACCACCGCGGAGAGAGAAAAAAAAGCACTTATGTAATTTCGAGAGAGTGCATCTTTCCCCCACCTGCTCTTTCTCTCAACGAAATCAACAACAATCAACGAAATCAACAACAATCAGCAAACAAGAACAACAAAACGAGATGTCAAAATGAACGTCGAACGCACACGGTCGGGCAAGAAGAGCGAACTCACCGTTCTCCTCGCCATACCCCCAGTGATGTCCGGACATTGCGAACTTAACTCTGACGAGCAAAACCCCTTCGTTGGCACGAGCGTCCTTGAGCAGACAGACAGAGACAGACAGACAGAGACAGACAGAGAGACAGATAGACAGACAGAGAGACAGAGACAGACAGAGATAGACAGAGAGACAGACAGAGAGACAGACAGACAGAGAGAGTGAGAGGTGGAACGCGAAGAGGCGACGGGATGCGTGGGTGCACACGAGGAGGGTGAAGCCTCTGGCTTTGTGAGCGAACTTCTTCCACTCGAGTCCCAGCGGCTTTTTGCAAGCGGCTTTGGAGCACAGATAGGGGCCGGGGGGGTGGGGGTGGTGGTGGTGGTGGTGGAGGAGGCGGGGCGAGAATTAATTTGGAAGGTGCCTTGCGCAATCATTCTGTGCGAGGGACCGGGTTGGATCGTTGTGACTTGCAACTGACTGTGTGGGACTGACTGTGTGAGACTGACTGACTGACTGTGTGAGACTGACTGTGTGATTGTGTGAGACTGACTGACTGTGTGAGACTGACTGTTTGAGACTGACTGACTGACTGTGTGAGACTGACTGTGTGAGACTGACTGTGTGAGACTGACTGTGTGGGACTGACTGTGTGAGACTGACTGTGTGATTGTGTGAGACTGACTGACTGTGTGAGACTGACTGTGTGAGACTGACTGTGTGAGACTGACTGTGTGAGACTGACTGACTGACTGTGTGAGACTGACTGTGTGAGACTGACTGACTGACTGTGTGAGACTGACTGACTGTGTGAGACTGACTGTGTGAGACTGACTGACTGTGTGAGACTGACTGTGTGAGACTGACTGACTGACTGTGTGAGACTGACTGACTGACTGACTGTGTGAGACTGACTGTGTGAGACTGACTGACTGACTGTGTGAGACTGACTGACTGACTGTGTGAGACTGACTGACTGACTGTGTGAGACTGACTGTGTGAGACAGACTGGCTGTGTGAGACTGACTGTATGAGACTGACTGACTGTGTGAGACTGACTGACTGACTGTGTGAGACTGACTGACTGACTGTGTGAGGCTGACTGTGTGAGACTGACTGACTGACTGTGTGAGACTGACTGACTGACTGTGTGAGACTGACTGTGAGACTGACTGACTGACTGTGTGAGACTGACTGTGTGAGACTGACTGTGTGAGACTGACTGACTGACTGTGTGAGACTGACTGTGTGAGACTGACTGACTGACTGTGTGAGACTGACTGACTGTGTGAGACTGACTGTGTGAGACTGACTGACTGTGTGAGACTGACTGTGTGAGACTGACTGACTGACTGTGTGAGACTGACTGACTGACTGTGTGAGACTGACTGTGTGAGACTGACTGACTGTGTGAGACTGACTGACTGACTGTGTGAGACTGACTGACTGACTGTGTGAGACTGACTGTGTGAGACAGACTGGCTGTGTGAGACTGACTGTATGAGACTGACTTACTGTGTGAGACTGACTGACTGACTGTGTGAGACTGACTGACTGACTGTGTGAGACTGACTGTGTGAGACTGACTGACTGACTGTGTGAGACTGACTGACTGACTGTGTGAGACTGACTGTGAGACTGACTGACTGACTGTGTGAGACTGACTGTGTAAGACTGACTGACTGACTGTGTGAGACTGACTGTGTGAGACTGACTGACTGACTGTGTGAGACTGACTGTGTGAGACTGACTGTGTGAGACTGACTGATTGTGTGAGACTGACTGACTGACTGTATGAGACTGACTGTGTGAGACTGACTGTGTGAGCCTGACTGTGTGAGACTGACTGATTGTGTGAGACTGACTGACTGTGTGAGACTGACTGACTGACTGTGTGAGACTGACTGGCTGTGTGAGACTGACTGTATGAGACTGACTGACTGACTGTGTGAGACTGACTGACTGACTGTGTGAGACTGACTGTGTGAGACTGACTGTGTGAGACTGACTGATTGTGTGAGACTGACTGACTGACTGTATGAGACTGACTGTGTGAGACTGACTGTGTGAGACTGACTGATTGTGTGAGACTGACTGACTGACTGTATGAGACTGACTGTGTGAGACTGACTGTGTGAGACTGACTGATTGTGTGAGACTGACTGACTGTGTGAGACTGACTGACTGACTGTGTGAGACTGACTGGCTGTGTGAGACTGACTGTATGAGACTGACTGACTGACTGACTGTGTGAGACTGACTGACTGACTGTGTGAGACTGACTGACTGTGTGAGACTGACTGACTGACTGTGTGAGACTGACTAACTGTGTCAGACTGACTGACTGTGTGAGACTGACTGTGTGAGACTGACTGGCTGTGTGAGACTGACTGGCTGTGTGAGACTGACTGACTGACTGTGTGAGACTGACTGTGTGAGACTGACTGTGTGAGACTGACTGTGTGAGACTGACTGACTGTGTGAGACTGACTGTGTGAGACTGACTGACTGACTGTGTGAGACTGACTGACTGTGTGAGACTGACTGTGTGAGACTGACTGACTGATTGACTGTGTGAGACTGACTGGCTGTGTGAGACTGACTGCTGAGGCGGTGACTCTGTGCGTTTGGAGTGGGGGAGTGGTGGCGCAGTGGTTAGCGACACGCTGCGCTACGAGCCCGACGAACTCGAGTTCGATTCTCACTCACGGCCACCACCAACACCCAGTGACGATTATCTGAACCGGCCCTGTTGGGCCTCCCCTAGGTCGACTCAGCCTCAAATGTGTACCCGGTGCGGTGTGTAAACATCGCCACTGGGGAGACGAAGGCGGCCGGGCGTGGTGCTGTTCGCAACAGCACTTGCCCCAACAGTCTGTTGAAGCTACACGGGGGAACCTTTTTCTCTGTTATCTCACGCCGCAGTCAACAATGGGCCGCACATCCACGACTCTGGGTCGAGCTCGCTTCGAGTTGCAACTCCTGGCCACGGCTAGAACTCACCACAGCGAGCTTCGAGTTGCAACTCCTGGCCACGGCTAGAACTCACCACAGCGAGCTTCGAGTTCCAAATCCTGGCCACGGCCAGAACTCACCACAGCGGGCTTCGAGTTCCAAATCCTGGCCACGGCTAGAACTCACAACAGCGAGCTTCGAGTTGCAACTCCTGGCCACAGCCAGAACTCACCACAGCGAGCTTCCAGTTCCAATTCCTGGCCACGGCTAGAACTCACCACAGCGAGCTTCGAGTTGCAACTCCTGGCCACAGCCAGAACTCACCACAGCGGGCTTCGAGTTCCAAATCCTGGCCACGGCCAGAACTCACCACAGCGGGCTTCGAGTTCCAAATCCTGGCCACGGCTAGAACTCACCACAGCGAGCTTCGAGTTGCAACTCCTGGCCACAGCCAGAACTCACCACAGCGAGCTTCCAGTTCCAATTCCTGGCCACAGCCAGAACTCACCACAGCGAGCTTCGAGTTGCAACTCCTGGCCATGGCCAAAACTCACCACAGCGAGCTTCCAGTTCCAATTCCTGGCCACGGCCAGAACTCACCACAGCGGGCTTCGAGTTGCAACTCCTGGCCACGGCCAGAACTCACCACAGCGAGCTTCGAGTTGCAACTCCTGGCCACAGCCAGAACTCACCACAGCGAGCTTCGAGTTGCAACTCCTGGCCACGGCCAGAACTCACCACAGCGAGCTTCCAGTTCCAATTCCTGGCCACGGCTAGAACTCACCACAGCAAGCTTCGAGTTGCAACTCTTGGCCACGGCCAGAACTCACCACAGCGAGCTTCGAGTTGCAACTCCTGGCCACGGCTAGAACTCACCACAGCGAGCTTCGAGTTGCAACTCCTGGCCACGGCCAGACCTCACCACAGCGAGCTTCGAGTTGCAACTCCTCGCCACGGCTAGAACTCACCACAGCGAGCTTCGAGTTGCAACTCCTGGCCATGGCCAGAACTCACCACAGCGAGCTTCGAGTTGCAACTCCTGGCCACGGCCAGAACTCACCACAGCGAGCTGCGAGTTCCGACGTTCGGTGCTACCGCTCGCTAGCGGCACCTTGACCCCCGAAGGGTCAGTCGAAGGCTACACACCGAGTTTGGGAGGGGGGGTCAACGGCGATTTATCCAAACCTGTCCGGGGCCTCACCTAGGTCGACTCAGCCTCAAAATGAGTGCCTGGTTGGGGTGGGTAAACGTCGCCACTGCTGGGGAAGACAAAGGCGGCCGGGCGTGGTGCGACTTGCCCGGCTCCCCACTCCCTCGCGTGCCGTGCCGGCCTTCGCAGGCGCCAACTCGCTAATGGCACGAAGAGGGGGGGGCATCTTTGTCTTTGCCTTTGCAGTGTTGAGTGGGGGGCCCCTGCCCAACCCGTACAAGCTGAAGCAGTTCCACTTCCACTGGGGGGCTGCGGACGGCAGTGGCTCTGAGCACACCGTGGCCGGCAAGACGTACTCCGCTGAGGTCAGGGGTCACGCGCGTGCGTGCGTCCCTCTGCCGGTGCTGGACTTCTCGCCCTCCGTGTCTTTTGCTCAAAAGAACTTCGATAAACACGGGCGCTTAATTGTGTCGTGGGGGGGGGGGGGGGGGGGGTGTTAGTCATTTATAAAGTGTGAAATTACATCATTCGTGAGAGTCATTGGTGAATAAATCGCGTTGTGTGAATCTGACAATGTAAGTCGAGGGCTGGCTGAGCTGGCCGCGTAGTGATCCCTGGGCGGCTGGTGGTGGTGGTGGTGGCCGTGTTGGAGCTGCACGTGGAGAGTGACTGCATCCATCATAGGCTCGGGGCACCCCCTCGTGCCGCTCACGAGCATCGCCGTCTTCAAAAACTAAACTATAAGCTAGTAACGGATTAAAAAAATACCGGGTAAAGGCCCACTAACTGAGATATTTTATGGACCTATTTTTTTTTGTTTTCAAAAGTTACCTATCACAAATTGAAAGCTCCACGAAGTGGCTAATTTATCATCGTCGTGGGGAAATTTTATACAGCAGCCAAAAACTCTGAACGCGTGAAGTTGATTCGAAATGTGGAGGGGAAAAACCGGAGGACCCGGAGAAAAAAATCCACGCGATCACGGGGAGAGAGAGAGCGACTCAAACTCCAAATATACAGCAGGCGTCAGGGTCGGGATCGAACCCACGACTTTCCTGCAGAGCAGGCGAGTTGGTCAACATCTCCTAGCCACTGTGATGATGATGTAAGAGAGAGACACCGCAAACTCCAAATATACAGCAGGCGTCAGGGTCAGGATCGAACCCACGACCATCCTGTAGACCTGGCGAGGTAGTTAACATCTCCTAGCCACTATGATGATGATGTAAGAGAGACACCG